CAACTTCGGGGAAGGAATTATGATTTATATTGAAGAAGCAACACGGTTGAAATGGAGAGAGGAGGAGAGACGGGTACAGCAGCATCACTCATAGTGGGTTAGCAAATCTCCTCTCATTGGGAAATCAGGCTCTGATTCCCTGGGGCTGTTGGCCCAGTCAGCCACCACAACTTGAAAGATACATCCAGATACAGCCAGAGTCAACGTCAGGGCTGAATGACCAGGGGCTGCTGCCTTGAGTGATTTGGGCCCGAGGTGTCTCAAAAGTATGGTTCACTAACCACTGAAAACACCATTTCCTTCTGTACCCAGGGAACTCACTGACCACCAACCATTCACAAATACTGACCAAGGCACTAGAAGGGCTCCCAGAAAGTGCCCTGGTAAGACTTGGAAGAGAAAGGGCACACCACGGTTGACTCTTACCTCATGCCAGAGAAGCGTATCTCACCTGGTCCCTCTTCAGAAGTTGGGTACTGGTCTGAAGGAGCAAGTGTCAGCTCACAGAAAAATATCAACTTTTTTTTGTCTATGACTGAGCCTAGGTATCAGAGACAGAACAAAATTCCATTTGTCAAGAAGTTTGCCACAGTCATAGAAAGCCAAGAAGGGACAATCCCTAATCCCTTGAGAGATCAGGTAATGGAAGTGCTTATTCTACACAGTCCTCAAGTCCAGGGACCTCTGATATACAGGTTCCCCATCAGGAAAGCTTATTGTTGGAGTCCTCATCAAGGGTAAGACCTGAGAGGCCAGGTGCAATGGCTCACACTTGTAATGCCAGCACTGTGGGAGGCCAAGGTGGGAGGATTGCTTGAGCCCAGGAGTTCTAGACCAGCCTGGGGAATGTAGCGAGACGCCATCTCTAAAAAATAAAATTAGGCAAAGGCTGGGCGTGGTGGCTCACATCTGTAATTCTAGCACTTTGGGAGGCCAAGGTGGGCAGATTACTTGAGGTCATGAGTCCGAGACCAGTCTGGCCAACATGGTGAAACCCTGTCTCTACTAAAAATTCAAAAATTAGCCTGGTGTGGTGGTGCACACCTGTAGTCCCAGTTACTCAGGAGGCTAAGGCAGGAGAATTGCTTGAACCCGGGAGGTACAATTTGCAGTGAGCCGAGATAGCACCACTACACTCCAGCCTAGGGGACAGAGGGAGACTCCATCTCAAAAAAAAAAAAAAAATTAGCCACCCATGGTGGTGCACACCTGAAGTCCTAGTTGCCTAGGAGGCTGAGTTGAGGCAGGAGGATCACCTGAACCCAAGAGTTCAAGGCTGCAGTAAGCTATGGTCATGCCACCGCACTCCAGCTTGGGCAACAGAGCAAGACCCTGCCTCAGGGGAAAAAAAAAAAAATCATCCTCTAGGTATGGGGATAAAAAATTAAAATTTAAAAAATAATAAGACCTGAGACCCAAGGTTTTGCTATGTGCCTGAGCCTAGAGTCCTTACCACATCTTATTTTCTCCTTTTCTCAGTGATCTTCCAATTAGCTCTGAAGAGAATTCCCTGATGGGACCAGGACTAGCTCCCCAAGTCCTCTAACAACCAAAGGAAACTATTTTACTTAACATCAATTCTAGTCATATTCCCAGAGACCTACATTAACAAAGCACATTCACTAATATGGTTAATGAAAAAACTAGCAGGAAAGCAGCTCAGTAGGAGAAAGCAATACTAGCAAAAATTAAATCTCTCATTCTGAAGGCACAAGGTTAGTATTTTTCAGTTTCTTGTTGATTCATTCAGCTATTTATTGAGCACTTACTATGTGCCAAGATATGAAAAGTCCTGAGAGCACAAAGATGAATGGGGCATGGGAGTGACCTTGAGGGATTTATAGGGCAGTCAAGGAGACAGAGAAGTAACTTGAAAAATGAAAGCACAAGAAATCACTTCTGTGTCCAAGGTCAACATGAGCAAAGTGCTGGAGGACCTCACAGGATGAAGTCCCTGGGTATCAGAAAAGTCAGGATGGAGGAAGTGACATTTCAGGTGAGTCTTAAAGGATAAGATCACACTACAAAGGTTTGGGATGGGGTGAGGAAGGACTTTGAAGGCAGAGGGAACAATGTGCCTGAGGATTCTAGATGTGAAAAATTGAAACTTGCCAGGTAATACAATGCAGGCCCTCAAAAACACCAAAGAAGCTTGGCCTCCAGACTTAGCTCAAATCTCATCTCAGCTGGCTCAGGTTCCATTTTGAGCAGCTATTCTAGTGGAGTCAACAGGATACCAGGGCAGAATACCCACAAGGGGCCTGTGAAATTGCTTAGACTGAGGCTTCCCTCATGCTCAAAAGCCGGGTAGCTGTTGAACTAAGGGAAAGACAATGGACTCTACTCTAAATACAACCCCTTCATATATTTCAACTGTGGACAGCACAGCCTCAGTTAATATAAAATGTATGGGCCAGGAGTGGTGGTTCACACCTGTAATCCCTGCATTTTGGGAGGCTGAGGCAGGTGGATCATTTAGCGTCAGGAGTTCGAGAACAGCCTGGCCAACACGGTGAAACCCCGTCTCTACTAAAAATACAAAAAAAACAATAGCCAAGCGTGGTGGTGCATGCCTGTAATCCCAGCTACTCGGGAGGCTGAGGCAAGAGAATCATTTGAACATGGGAGGCAGAGGTTGCAGTGAGCTAAGAGCTGAGATTGTGCCGCTGCACTCCAGCCTGAGCGACAGAGGGCGACTCTGTCTCAAAAAAAAAAAAAAGTATGAAATGTATGCGTAAACCTACATTTAAAAACTCATTCATGTAAAGTTGTATCAGGATTCAGATTCCTTCTGTGAGATATGGAAGTAGATCGTGGCAATGGATGAATGTATACTGAACCAGAGATGCTTTCCTTGCTGAAGTCAAGGGACGGGGCATTTCTTCTTAGGAGGGTCATTTCTTCCAGGCATCCTTTGCTTTTATGGGCTCCCTGCAGTGTGAGTTTGTCAGCACCTTCAATATTTAGGTTATCCAGGAGATCTGGATCCCAGGAAAAAGTCTGTCGCTATTCCAACTCTCATAAAACTGACTTGTAACTAGAGTCCATTTCATAAACTTCAGTGTGTAACAGCTCTGCTGCTAGGAAAGTAGGTTTCCAAGAAATTAGGAGGCAATCATTTGACACTGAAGAGAGTACCACCTGAACAAGGACCCCTTCTTCCTTAGCCCATGCCAGCGACTCAGCCCCCTAAATTTCTCAGGGAGCAATACTTCTTCAGTGCTCCACGTTGCCCTCTGCTGGGAGACAGCACAGACATCGGAAAGGGCCTGGGCCTTTTGGTCCATATAAACATGTCTGATTCCTGATTCTGCCATGACTGGCTCTGGGCCTTGGCCAATTCATCCCATCTTGCCAAGTCTCCACTCACTCATCTGCAAAACAGATGCTTCAGATTGTTGTGTGATTTAAATAAGGTAGGGGAAATGTTAGTAGTCTCCCTCATAGCAGACACTTGGATAAAAGACAGTCGTCATTTTTCCTTTTGTTTACAGCCATGCTTGTGACTAAGAAATACTGGATTTAAATCCAGAAGGTCTCAGTCTGCTTTCTAATTCTGCTATTTAACATTCCTGGTGGAGATAAAAAGAGTGTTTTAGCACCTACCTTGTTTCAGACACTATGCTGGCTTTTTATGTAATTAGGGGTTCTTTTGCTCCAAAAACCATCCATCTGAGGTCACCAGACTGCCTGGGGGAAAAGGGGGATGAGGTGGGAAGGGGAGAGTAAAGTGACTCATCCATTAGGATTCTATTTCCAATTCCCAAAACTGTCTCCCCAGGTTTTCCAGAGGTGACAGTTGGAACATACTGTAACACCAGCTAGTACCCAGTCCTCTTTTATTGTGTTAGAATTACCCAAGTTCTAAAGTTAGCAAAGATCTAGAAACTGGGGACAGAGCAGCTTTAGGGCTCTTATGAAGAACCACTGTTGCCTGTTCAACCCTATAGCGTAGCAACTTTGCTTGGCTGCAACTTATAGCTGGAGACGTTCTCTCCACTTGAGCCAGTCCAGTCCAGCCTACAGAGCAGTCTCCCCATCCCTAGAAATCTAGGGAGAGGCCCTGACCCCCTCAAGGGCTGAGGAGGCAGGAGCATACCCAGATTAAGCAGGTTTTGGGGCTAATCAGACCTGACACAGACATTTACTAGCTACATGATCTTCCACAAATTTAACATCTGTAAGATGGGGGATAACAGTCCCTGGGACAAGTAAATGATAAAAATGGGTGTAAACGGCTCAACATGACACCAGGACCCTCTACAAGAATAAGCAAAAGTGAGTAGCAGTAGTTTCTCAAAACAAGGTTGAGAGCCCGAGTTCTAGGTAATAGACAGGGATTTAACAACATCCAGGGCATGATATAGGGACATGTTTATTCCCCAGATGGGAGGTGCCCAAGAAGGGGTCAGACTGCCTTCCCTCCACATTCTCCATCTATCTCTTCTTCACAGCAGTCCTCCTCTGACTTGTGTGGTAATAGTTAATCACGTAAGGCTCAGTTTCATTACCTTACTGACACATCTCATATACTGTCTGATATTCTGGGACCAGGGCCCAAGGAAAACATATTTTTCTCTAATTCTGATCTCAATTCTTTCACCCTCGCTCTCCCTTTCCTTCCTTAGAGTATCTGTCACAGGCAAACCAGCCAAATAACTGGAAAACTTGTCTCAGGGAAGGGTGTGGGAAGACAAGGAATTTTGAATTTGGCATGTCTGCATTGATTTTGTCTGTTTCTAAGCTGTGTCAAGGGTAGGAAGGGAGTCTTTTCGTTTCAGTTGGGAGCCCTCACAGCTTTATGCATCTCTAGATTCTTAAAATTATTAATCAGAAATTGATTTGCTTCTTTTCCTGTTTGGTATCTTCTCAATAGTCAAAAACACAGGGATTATTAGTCCTAGGAAAGCAACTGTGACTATGGATCTTTCTACTCTGTCCACAGCAACCTAGAAATAACAATTACAAGACATCCTACATTTAGAGAGAATAAAGTAAGAAAATTAAGCAAGTTTATTACTATTTTTTAGTTTAGCTTGATGTCCTGAGACACTTTTTCAGGATACTATGAATCCGGATTTTAAGGATAATAAAGCATTCATAAACAGATTATTTATAGAGTTTGAAGTGTAATTATGGAAGTTTTAAGCCTGCCCACTAAACCCGTAAGAAAGCATTTTCCAGCATAGGTGGCCACACACAAACACATACACACACAATTCCAGGCTAAGAAATACGTGTTATAACTAAGACGGTTAAAGCACTGAGGTATTCCTCCCTGGATTCAAGCTCATGGATTAACACATGAAAACATCATTTCCATCCTTTTCATTCACCATTTACATTCACAGTCTATTTTTGTCTAGATATATAGATACCATTAAGGAACCACACAGGTCAAGTCACTCAGGTTTAATGATTCCATCATTTGGACACATAAACTTCTGTTTCATTTAAGTCTACTCACTGTAGATAATCCAGGTCACCCAGCCTCCCATTAAGAAGATTTAATCAAAGTTTTCTGCACCCCAAACCCTCACAAAACAGACCTCTATGATGAAATCACAGAGAGACACATATTAGTCTAGTTAGTGGCCAAACATTGGTCTTTAGAGTCCAAAGACCTCTATAACCAGTAACAGTAGATGAGAGAAAAGAAGGAACAGAGAAACTGAGTTTTCTGAGAACCCCCTTTCCAGACTGCCTGACTAAGCTGTCTTTCCTTATAAGAGCAGGATTAATCTACTTATGCCAAGACCCACTGGGCAGAAAGCACTCCAACCCAACTTTAGCTGATCTTTACCACTTCCCTGTGACAGCTATAGCAATCTTTTGGAATTTTCTGCAGCAAGTTTTCCCCTTTTGCTGTCCCTACAAAAGCAGAAAAGCTAGGGGACAATCTCTGCGCTAGTTTCTTTTATCCAGGCAGGATGAATGTTCACCATTTGGACCCCTCTCTGTAAAAAGCTAGGACTTTATTTCTTAATGAAAGTTCAACACTGAGGAAAAGATAGCAAAGTCGTTGACTCACAATCTCAGGCCAACCTCACGCAGACAGGTTAAGGCAGGGATAGGCAAGAGAGGTCTATTTTAACCCTATCCAGGCCAAAAGCAGGTTACTCAGGAACACCCTAAGATCAAGCTGGTACTCAGGGCCATCTCTAGGATGGTCATAAGCAGTGTGATTGCGTAGGTCATTCCCAGGCACTAACTAGACTAAGCTTCCCAGTTCCTTCCAGAATAAACTCACTATTCCTTAGCCCTTGGGACTAGTGGATGATGTGGCACTACTTCAAACTTTCTGGTCCCTTTCCAGCCTGGCTTTATGTCCCCAGAGAATTGGGGCAGCAATGGACCAGACTCAGATTGTGATGAGAGGGAGAAAACAGCTGGGTTTTGTGCATTTCAGAGATTAACTGAACTCCCTTTGGAGTCACATTTACTCCTAGCTTTGTGCCAGGAGCATATTATTAAAACAAAACATCTTATTTTAAAACAGCCTTACCACTGTTCCAACTTTTGCACTTCTCAGTCCTAACCTCATCTTCTCCTCACATGCACACCATCAGAAGACACTGCCCCAGCACTTTCAGTTATCTCTAGGGCCTAAGGATAAAGCAGCATTAATGGCATTTGGCAGAAAATCCCATCCCACATTAAAGACTCCTCCCAGCTCAACACAGTGAAGAAATAAATGATAATGTAAGAGAAGGGGCAGCAGAAACCAGAACCTGCCCTTTCCCACATCAAAGAGGCACAGAAATTCCAGGAGTTCGTGAAAACAGCATCATCTCTTGCCAGAAGGCCACCAGCTGGCACTGGCTGGGAGTCGCATTATCACTTGTTTCTCCTCCGGACTGAAGTGCAAGATAGTCAGTATGGCTGTGAGAGTCTGCTGGCGGCCCAGGGAGTCAGGTAAGGTGAGGAAGCGGTAGATGATGTTCTTGAGGTACTCCAGATTGGCCCCCTCTCTGCTCTGATCCCTGATGTTCTTTTCGATGTGGCTTTGTAGGGTTGCAACCTCCTCGCGATGCCGTTCGCCCTCCTCCAGCAGCCGATCCTGCAGCTGATGCACCTCGACCTCCAGCCTGTGCTTCTGCTTCCGCAGTGATGTGATCTCCACCTCCTTGCGGGCCAGCTGCTCAGCATACAGAAAGAAAGTGGGTTCATTGGCCGCTGCAAGTTGTAATGCTTGGGTCAGGCTATCAGAGGATGATGTGTCAGCTGGGTCCCCAGGACCACCACCACCCACAGGACTTCTGCGTCCTGGCAGCCCAGAGGCCAAGGCCACAGAACGCAGTTGCTCCAGTTCCAAGTCCTTCTCAGTGAGAACAGCCAGGGCACGGTCCCGCTGCTTGTGCAGCTCCTCCTCCAGTTTCAGTGTGCGGTCCCTGAAGTCCAGCTGGCACCGCTCCAGCTCCTGCCGGTGGAGCTGCTGCAGCCGGGCCAGCTCCTGCTTCCAGTCTTCAGCCTCCTGCTGGTGTTGTTGCTCCAGCTCCTCGCAGGAGAGCCGCAGGGAGATATACTTCTCCTTCAGCTCTGCAAGCTGTTCCTGGGCTGCCTCTAGTTCCCTTCCCAGGTTACCATCTTTGGTATTCTTGCTTTTGAGGACAACCTGGGCCCTCATCTTGTACCTCTCAAACTCTTCCTTCAGCTGTTTCAGCTCCTGTTGGTAATAGAGTGCAGTAGCCTTCTCCCCATCAGCAGCCTCCGAGCTAGGCATTATCTCCAGGTCACAGAGCTTCTCCACATCCAGGGTCACCTGGCTTTTCCTGGCTGCAACCTGCAGCAACCTCTTCAGCCTCTCCATCTTATCCTTCAGGACATTGACATCCAGACTGGACTCCTCTCCGTGGCTGTCTAAAGGGGACCTGCTGGAGGCTGCTAGAGCCAGTGTCTTGTTCTCCAGGTCCAGCTGCAGAATGCGCTCCTTCAGCTTCTGAATGGCCAGCTGGTCCTTCTGCTTGGCTTTCTCGTAGGTGCCTAGCAGCTCAGACACCTCGGATATTTGATTTTCCAGGGCTGCCACCCTCTGTTCTTCCACCTGAGATTGCTGACGGAGTTGATCCTCTGCAAGAGCTGTCTGGAAAACAAGGGAACAGACAAAAATGCGTCCACAAAAGCCCCACAGCAAACTTCGAGAAACCAGTTTCTGGTTTCGAAGGAGAGGGGAGCAAAAGGGTCACAGGTTTGGGATGGCCTGGCAAGAATGTGAACTAGGGATTTTTCGGTTGATTTAGGAGCTAACAAAAGTTCCTATTACCTGCTTGGGTTCTGCAAAACACATATATCGAACAATATTAAGCACCTTGGTATATCTGCTATTGTTCTGCTTTCCACCTAACACACATGTAATGTGTGTTACTGTTGTTTTTCTGGTGCTTCCTCAAATCCTATTAAGAAATCATACAACATTCTTTTCCTTATCCAATATTCCTGGAAGTTCAAAACTGAGCCAGATTTCCCTCTCCACATTGAAAGGAGGCACCTCTTTCAACACCTGTTCTGGTATAGCACTTCTCCAAAACAGGTAAATCTTGAGTAAAGGCAATGACAAGAGGTTACTTCTGAGAAAATCCCCTTTGCCTTCAGTCACCCTCCCTAGAAGCACATACCAACAGAACCTTTGGACACACTACCTTTTACTGGACACACTACCTTTTACTGTACAGATGCTGCTATACTGCTTCATAGACCACAGCAGGTAAGATGCCAATGCCCAGAAGTGCAGACCTGTCTGGCTTCAACCCAGCCTCCACTGAGAAGCTCCACATCCTCCTGGAAGCACACACGTCAACACCACATAGAACAGGACTTCCCAGGTTCTCTAGTGGAACTTCTCAGGCAGCATCAAAAATGACACTGCAGACACTTAGCTCTAACTAGCAAAGGAGGAAAAAAACCCTAATAGTTCTCACTTCAGGTCAATGACTGATGTTTGAAAAAGATGTGGATAATTACCTTTCTCATTTCCTGCTGTAACTGAGCCTGGAAATGGCTCTTAAGGCGGGCAGCCTCTTCCTGAAGTTCTTGCAGCCGGGGGTCTGGCTGATTCTTCTCATCTCGAATGACCTGCAGTTCACTTTTCAGCTCCTCCACCTCACGGGTCAGCTGCTTGGTCTGCAGTTCAAATCCTTCCATCTGTTCGGCTGCATATGCTCGTCCTGCCAGGGCTTCTCGGGTCTCTTCTAACCTAAGCTCCAAGTCCTGGCGCTGGGTCCTCTCCTCCTGCAGCAGCTTCTGGAGCTCACGCAGCATCAAGGCATGGTCACTCTGCTCTTGGGCCCGATCATGCTGCTGTGTGATAAGCCGGGCTTTGGTTTCTGCTATTTGCTCCTGCAGCCCCTTCAATTCTCCCTCCAGGCGGGCCCTCTCCTCCTCCGCCTTGTTACTGGCATCCTCTAAGTCCTGTTTCATCTTCTTCTTGTCAGCCAGGTAAAAAGCCTCCATGCGGGACTTCTCCTGAGTGACTGTGGCCAAAGAACTAGTCAAAGTAGCCAACTGAGTCTTCAGTTGGTGCAGTCTTTTGTCCACCTCCCCAACTGCAAATGGCCCATCCCCACTGCTACTGCTAACGCCACTTTCGGACCCACTGGCCTCTTCGGACTTTGGAGGTGGTGGTCCCCGGGCCGGTCTGTCATCTTCTACCCCAAACTCACCCTTGGTGCTGGTGAGACTGGCCGCAGTATCCAAGCTAGTGGCGGTCCCAGTGCTATCCTCGCTGTGAGTGGAGCACCGGTCATCCACAGAGTCAGGAAATGTGAGGCCTGGAAGCTGGACACCTACGAGGCCCACATCTGCCTCGTGGGATACCGACAGCACCTTGATGCTGGCCTCTAGCGCCTCTTTCTCCTTCAGTAGGCTTTTATAGGCACGGACCACATCCTTGAGCCGTGCCTGATACTGGAGAAGCTGCTGCTTCTGCGTCTCTATAGTCTCCAGCAAGTCTTTCTTGCTCGGGCCGCCTCCGAAATTCATCCCAAACTTCTCCATGGAGGTTCTGAACGGATTGCCCCACGTCAGCTTTCCGGCAGAACGGGAGAGGGCCGCGAAGACGCAGAGGGGGGCTCAAAGAAACAGCTAGCGGGCTCTCCCGCGGCGGGCCGCACACCTACTCCACCCAGTTATCCCGGACCTAATGCGGATCGGCGGGACGGACTGGAGAAAGCGGCCGCCGGGTCCCAGGCCCAGAGGGCTGGGGCGGATTCTATCCCGGAGGCGGAGCGACACTGGCACCAGAGGCGCGCGCACTGCCAGGGATCGTCAGCGCTGGCCGACAAGCCGCTCCGCACTCTCCGCTCGTCTGGGCCACAGCAGCCCGGGCCGGCCCCCTCGGCACACGTCGGCCAGAGGCTTACGCTAACCCATCACGACTTCCTACCTACCTCTGCCTGCCGACAACGGCGCTTCCGTGTCCGCTGGAAGTGACGTCAGCGAGGCGCCGAAGGCTCCGCCCCCAGTGGGCGCGAGGTAGGCGGGGCCACATCGACCTGTTGAGCATGTGCAGTGGGGCCGCGAGCGGCAAAGAACAGGTTTGGGAAGGGTGAAGCCAGCAAAGTCGAAGACACCAGAGTGGTACTGGTTTTGTGAGGGCGCCCAAGCTTGACCTCGGGCTACGATCAGCGAACGACGGAGGGCAACGTCGCACTGCATTCTTAACAAACACCCAGGTGAACCACACATCCAACGATTTGGGAGCTCAGGACCCATATCCCTAAAAGGCAACGATTAAGACTCCCATTTAAACCACGAAAACTGCACTCCTCTCTAGCACAGTGCTTGGTACCTAGTAGCCATACAGCTTAATAGTACCCTTCCTTAGTTCTGCTGAGTTGATTCAACAAATATTTATGGAGGGCACTCTATAGTCATGTCTATCCTGAGTGCCCGCTATATACCAGGAGCTCACAAGAGTTTTGCTATTTAGTCTTTACAATAATTCTTGTAAGCACTATACTCATTAGCAATATTTTACAGATATGAAATCATGAGGCAGAAAGGTTATACGTAACATGCCCAAGGTCACACAGCTAGTAAGTTTAGGAGTTCTATCCTAATCAGTCTGATTCTCAACATATCACGTGCTATGCCAGATGGTAACACCATTAAGAGACACAACCTTGCCCTCAGGGAGCTCACAATCTAGTAAGGAACCAGATATACAAATACGTCCTGCTATCACACCAGTATGTCTGAGTATATTCAAAATGGCATGAAAGTTAAGAGGAAAGAGGCCTGTCTAGGTGAGGCATAGAAGGCTCTTGGGAATAATACTTCGGGATTTTAAGAATGAGTCCTGATTGTCCACCTAACCAGAGATCAGGGAAACTAGCATTCCAGGCAGGTGGAAAAAATGCAAAGACCTGTAGGGTATCAGAGTTTGACTCACCCAGAAAGCATTCAGTAGCTTAGGGTATGTGAAAGAGATGACAACAGAGGGACTGGCACAATAGGTAGGGGCCCAACTTAAGCATTTAAATTTTATCTTGGGTTATAGTAAGGCCCTAAATGGATTTTAATCTGAACAGTGGGATGTCATCAAGACTTGTATGACATGTTGGAGGGAACAAGGGGCAGGAGACCTCTGAGGAGACTCTTTCAGTCATGGGGGAAGAGAAGGTAGTGACAACAGAGATGGAAACAAAGAGGCTGATAAAAGAGCTAAATGTAGAATTGATCCAACTTGGTGAACACTAGTTCTGTTATTATATTGGAACTCTCTAAAATGTACTCTTCAGCCTCATAAAAGCCTTCTTAGGGATGCAAATCTATGACTGAAGGAAAAAGGAAAGTCATGCACTCACTCCTATCTGTTTCCCAAAGTCTGTCCTTGGTATAGACTTTGCAGGTCAGGATGGGGCAGGACCTGGAGGTCTGTTCAGACCCCGTTTCTCAGTGGCCCAAATAACATCAAGCTGTATTATACATAACACTCAGTCACATTATCTCATCATTTTAATATTCACCATAACCCCTTAAGTTAGAACAAGTCTCCTTTTATAGATGACGAAATAACAGAAGAGTTATGAGGAGTGTAGAAGCCAAATCCTCAAGAAATGGCAGAATTAAGATTTGAACTAAAGCCTGAAACCACGTGCTGGCATGTGGTGGGTGCTCAGTAAATATCTGCTGATAAAGCAAATGAATGAGTAAAAGGTTTTTTTATTCCCAGCTCAGTTTACCTCGAGTCCATAAGCAATTGATCCTAGAAGCCCACTGGGAACCCAGAGTAGGCATAACACCTGTCCTTGCTCCATTGAGAATCTATCAGTCCAGTTCAACTGAACAAGCATTTGTTAGGCCTATATTAAATGCATGGCATTGAGCCAGTCTCCACCGCAGAAGAATTTCATTCCTATTTTGCTATTCTCCTCTCAGATGCTAAAATGAGGCAGGGAAATGACATGTGAAGCTCTTTGGGTCTAGGGAGTCAAGATCCTCACAAAATCCTGAATGAGTGTGCAAGAATAAGCCAGGTCCACCAGTCTGTGGCAAAATGAGGAACTTCAGCAAAGCGGCCAGCGCCTGGACTGAGAGGCGGGGCCCGCAGGGCGATCCAAGCGAAGGTGGACTTCAACAGCCCAGGAGTGGGTCTGCGACCACGCCGCCCAAGGCCGGGAATCTTACACTGGTTCCGTTGACTGGGAATTACGAAGTAGGCGTTTTGAGGAACCATAGAAGCTAGCTAGCACTTGGGCACCTACCCCTACCTCCGGCGCACTCTTCACACGACCACCTCCTACGCGCAAGACCCTCAGCGGAAGATGAGGCGGTAAAGGGAGGACCAAGACCCCTAAGCGCATCTTCCGCTCCCCAAAGGAGAGTGGTGCGCACGTTCAGTGCTACTGGTTCCCAAGAGCTAAAACCGGAGCCCTAGCGGCCTGGACGCCACAAACCAAAGCCCAGCGGCCGGCCACTGAAAATGGGGGCGGAGGCCGATACGGAGCGATGAAGCCTTTCCTTAGCCGCGCTCGGGCTGCCGGTTTGGCGGCCACAGGCCTGACAGGCACGTTGGAGACCCAGACCCGTTCCCAAATAAGGGCGGCGCGGGACCCAAGCCAGAGGCAGCTACTCGCGGAGCTTCGGCTTCCCCAGGAGCCAGACCCGGGCTGGGGCGGGGCCCAGAGCCGGGGGCGGGGCCCGGGTGGGGGCGGGCCCGCGGTGACGTCGGGAGGGCAGCGACGCGCGGAGGCGGTGGCGGAGCCTCCTCCTGCTGCTGCTGCGCCCCATCCCCCCGCGGCCGGCCAGTTCCAGCCCGCACCCCGCGTCGGTGCCCGCGCCCCCTCCCCGGGCCCCGCCATGGGCCTCACCGTGTCCGCGCTCTTTTCGCGGATCTTCGGGAAGAAGCAGATGCGGATTCTCATGGGTGAGGCAGATCGAGCGCGCGGCCCGGACCGGGGCGCCGGCCCCGGCGCAGCCCTTCCGCCCCCGCGTCCCTCCAGCCCCGCTCACCTGGGTCTCTGGCCCCGAGTCACCCACCTCCTAACGCCCCGGGGCCTCTCCTCTCGGGCGGGTCCCGGTCTGCAGCGCCGACCCCGGGGCCTGACACCCGGAGCTGCGGGCCTGGGTGGGGTGAAGCTCCCTCCGCCCCTGCCCGGCTGATAAGAAGGGAGGATTCCGCCCTTGGAGACGACTTTTAAAAGGAGCGCGGCCTACCCCCCGTGCCCCTTGCATCCCAGCCCTCTCCCGCGCCGCGCCCTCTTTAGAGTTGGCTCACGCCACCCAACTGCCCTCCAGGCCCCGAAGGTAGATAACGACGCGCACCTGGAGGCGCTCCCGCTCTCCGCCCCCGGCACCATCAGCTGTTGTGGCCTCTCATTTTCCCTGGTCTCTAGGGGGCTCCCTCGCTCCCATCTCCATCCCTGTGCCCCTCTCCGTTGCAGTTGGCTTGGATGCGGCTGGCAAGACCACAATCCTGTACAAACTGAAGTTGGGGGAGATTGTCACCACCATCCCAACCATAGGTGAGCCCAGGGACGAAGCAGGGAGCGGGAGCGCCGCGGCGGGCCCTCTGGGGTCTGCTCCCAGTTCTGCCACTTTTCTGGAGCTGACCCTGACACCAGATACAGCTATTTGAGAAGTGGGTCAGGGTATCTCTACGTGGATACCGGAGGCGGGGTGGATGTGACCTAGACCCGCCCTGTTGACCGGCAGTTCTGGGGTTCTGTTCCCCTGGGCCTTGATCATTGCCTTCTGGTTTTGTGTCCCTGCTGAGATATAAGTAGTTTCAGTGAGTTCCTTCCTTTCAGGAGTTTTTCTCATATTTTTTTTTTCCCAATTATCTGCAGGCTTCAATGTAGAAACAGTGGAATATAAGAACATCTGTTTCACAGTCTGGGACGTGGGAGGCCAGGACAAGATTCGGCCTCTGTGGCGGCACTACTTCCAGAACACTCAGGTGGAGTGTTGGGAGGGGACTCTCTAACCCCACGGGGAAAGGTGTTAGGGCTGGGAGAACAGAATTGTTGGCCTGGGCCGGGCCCCCAGGCCAAGGAGAAAACCCTTCCCCGCTTCTACCCCCTCTGTTTGGCTACCCTCTACTCATTCTTCAGAACTCACCTTAGTCTTCACCAGTTTGAACTTCTCTTTAGAAGCAGGATTCTGGGGCCAGGCTGCCTGATTTAGCCGTCATCACATGTCTTTATTTCCTTGCACTTCTTTAGATAAACTACTTCTTCTTTGCGGTGGGGTCTCTAGTTTGTGCTGGGACTTCTGTAGTGCTTCTATGGAGTTCTGTAAACTTCTGTAGCGTTTACTAGATGAGAAGGATTGACACAATTACAGACGGCAAGAGAAGAGAAAGGGCCACACTACAGTATGTCCCAGGCAGGAGTGATTGCTTCTCCTTTCTTCCTTCTTGCCCAGGGCCTCATCTTTGTGGTGGACAGTAATGACCGGGAGCGGGTCCAAGAATCTGCTGATGAACTCCAGAAGATGGTAAGTACCCAGAGCCCTGGGAACTGAACCCTCAGGTTGGGGACAGGGTGATCTCTCTGGTGCTATAGAAGTCAGGGAGCCCCCAACAAGCATTGAAGACCAGAAACATAAGTTTTTCTTTATGGACAGATACATTGTGTATCTCACCCTGTTTTGGATGGGACTGACTTTTTCTGTGCATTCTCGTGTCTTTTTTTTTTTTTTTTTTTTTTTTTTTTGAGATGGTGTTTTGCTCTTGTTGCCCAGGCTGGAGTGCAAAGGCACAATCTCGGCTCACTACAACCTCTGCCTCCCGGGTTCAAGCGATTCTCCTGCCTCAGCCTCCCGAGTAGCTGGGATTACAGGCGCCTTCTGCCATGCCCAGCTAATTTTTGTATTTTTAGCAGAGATGGGGTTTCACCATGTTTGCTGGGCTGGTCTCGAACTCCCGACCTCAGGTGATCCACCTGCCCCAGCCTCCCAAAGTGCTGCGATCACAGGCATGAGCCACCACGCCCAGCTGCATTCTCACGTCTTTACATCTGAGTCTGAGAAGTTGCAGGGGAAATGGGACTTATATGTGGTAAAGAGAAACATTTTACATTCTTGCCTTTTCCATTTGGAAATGTCATTTTGCCTAGGCAAGTACTCAAATTAGGAAAAGGTCTTTCTTTTCTGGACTTACGGCTCAGATCACCTCAAGCTCATTTACAACTATGTCTTGTCTTCAGTGGCAGACTACACAATATTTTTTTTTCCAATCAAGATCCTAGGAGGTAGAAAGGGAATTCCCCACACAGTAAAGAAGACGCAGCCTGGGTCCCACCTTCTCTTCTCCCCTCTCAGCTGCAGGAGGATGAGCTGCGGGATGCAGTGCTGCTGGTATTTGCCAACAAGCAAGACATGCCCAACGCCATGCCCGTGAGCGAGCTGACTGACAAGCTGGGGCTACAGCACTTGCGCAGCCGCACGGTAAGGGTCCTGCCCACCTGGTGCTGAATCCTGCCTCTTTAGGGAGGCCACAGGCTGGGACAGGGATATAAAGGCCCTTTTGTTCCTGGTTGCTGACCTCTTTCTTTCCTTTTCCCCACAGTGGTATGTCCAGGCCACCTGTGCCACCCAAGGCACAGGTCTCTATGATGGTCTGGACTGGCTGTCCCACGAGCTGTCAAAGCGCTAACCAGCCAGGGGCAGGCCCCTGATGCCCGGAAGCTCCTGCGTGCATCCCCGGGATGACCAGACTCCCGGACTCCTCAGGCAGTGCCCTTTCCTCCCACTCTTCCTCCCCCACAGCCACAGGCCTCTGCTCCTGCTCCTGCCTGCATGTTCTCTCTGTTGTTGGAGCCTGGAGCCTTGCTCTCTGGGCACAGAGGGGTCCACTCTCCTGCCTGCTGGGACCTATGGAAGGGGCTTCCTGGCCAAGGCCCCCTCTTCCAGAGGAGGAGCAGGGATCTGGGTTTCCTTTTTTTTCTGTTTTGGGTATACTCTAGGGGCCAGGTTGGGGGGGAAGGTGAGGGTTCCGGGTGGTGCTATAATGTGGCACTGGATCTTGAGTAATAAATTTGCTGTGGTTTGTACACGGTGTTGTCTATAGCCTGCAACGGGGAGGCTGGGTTACTGGGTACCAAGAGACAACATGGGAGAGGATCAAAGCAGCTAAGGCTGCAGGGCAACCCCACCCACACATACCTTCAGCTCAGCTTCTCCCTCCTTATTGGGCTGGAAATACTGTAGGGTTTCCAGTGGTGGAAGTCTCATTCCTTCCCAGCTCCAAGGACCCTTTGCTGAAGATTACAGGATCTCCCTTCATAGTTCCATGAACCACGTAACTCTTCCCATCATTCTCGTAGCTACTTAGAGCAGTTCTTAATGTTTGCCTTGCACATTAAAATTAGAGGGGGAGAGAATGTGCGTTAATAATGCGAATCCTGAGGTACGTTTCAGAAAATGTGATTCGTCAGGACTAGTCTGATGCCCAACAATATGAATCTTTAAAATTACCCAGGGGAGGCCAGGCGCAGTGGTTCACGCCTGTAATCCCAGCACTGGGAGGCTGAGGCGGGTGGATCACGAGGTCAGAAGATTGAGACCACAGTGAAACCCCGTCTCTATTAAAAAAAAAAAAATACAAAAAATTAGCCGGGCGTGGTGGTGGGTACCTGTAGTCCCAGCTACTCGGGAGGCTATGAACCCGGGAGGCAGAGCTTGCAGTGAGTTGAGATCGCACCACTGCACTCCAGGGTGACAGCGCAAGACTCTGTCTCAAAAAAATAAAAAATAAAATTACCCAGAGGATTCTGCCACTAATAGTCTATTATCCTTATTTTATAAAACATTGGTGGAGTCTGGGGCTTGTAGTTCCTTGCTGCTCGCCACTGAGACTCTTGCTACCTGGGAAGACCCCACCTATGGGGAATAGGAAAGCAAGTGTAAGGAACCAGGGGTGGCTGGGCACTGTGGCTCATGCTTGTAATTCTAGCACTTTGGGAGGCTGAGGCAGGAGGATTGCTTGATCCCAGAAGTTAAAGACCAGCCTGGGCAACAGGGCAAGATCCCATCTCTACAAAAAAACAAAAATAAAAAATTACCTGGTCGTGGAGGTGCACACCTGTGGTCCCAGCACCTCAGGAGGCTGAGGCGGGAGGATCACTTGAGCTTGGGAGATCAAGGCTGCGGTCAACTGAGATGCACTCCAACCTAGCTAGCAGAGCAAGACCCTGTCTCAAAAAAGGAACCAAGAGAGTGGCCTATTCTCCAAGTGTGATTGACTGCCCATTTTTCCTTGGATCCTAGCCAGGCTTAGGCAGAACTCATCATCACTTCTTTTTGCCTTTCTTTTTCTTTCATGTCACTTTTTCCAGGTTCTGAGCTGGGTTTTCTCCTCAAGCTTTGCAGGAAGTGAGTCCAAGAGACTATAACTCAGAGATTCTTTGAAGGGGAAAGATATCCTTGCAGGAGCTCTGACTGTCTGCCCAGCCAGCTGTCCTACCCACCAGTAGAGCAGCTGGGGTTGAGGAGGGCTGCTTGGTGCTCTCTCCACCTATGTGCTTCTCCTTACCCAGGTCCTGAGCCAGCCTTCGTGATGAATATGTGTTATTTGATGTCAGCTGATTAACTAGGGTTTCCTCATACTCCCTGCAAAGCAACATCTGGAACATTTTGACCTCATCCTCTTAAAGGCCATAAAAGTTGATAGATTTTTCTTGAATATATTTTACTTAACAAAATACCTGAGCTGCAAGGGAGCCAGGCAGAACCCACTTCCTTGGGAGGAAAGAGGTTGATTTCTATCCTGTTATTAGAATGAGAAACAGAGGTAAAGAAAGGGGAAAACTTGCCTAAATTCACAGGTTGAAGTTCCAGATCCTGGTCTCAGCTCAGCCTACCTCGGTGCCCAGAGGGGAATAGGAAGGCAAACACCGGAGGCTCTGGACCCGCCTCCTCTAGGCCATGGATTAATGCTGCTGGGCAAGGGCCCCTTCCCCACTACAGTGGGATAAGAGGCTGCCCTCACAGTCACAATGCTCCCGGGTCACAGAGGTGCTGGGCCCCAGGCCAGCCTCTGCCTGGGAAGTTCTCTCTGGGAACATCTGGTGGGTACTACAGGCCCTATGGCCTGTGGAACCTCACTACGGGGGGGAGGGCTGGGCCAGACGGAGTCATCACCTGTGGTGTCGGCCCCATGGATGAGATGGAGTGGATACACAGACATCCCAAGGCTGAGGACCTAAGGGTTGGGCTCATCAGCTGGGCAGGAACTTACCTCACCTTTGAGGCATGCAAGAATACAGTCACTGCAACTGCGAAGAGTTTGGGCAGGAGACAGGTGACAAAGCAAACCTATACTGGAACCAGTTTTCTGAGTGGCCAAGCTGTGTGTGTGTGTGTGTGTGTGTGTGTGTGTGTATGCACTTGCCTGTATATGAAAGTGGGATGTACTCTCAACCTAATCACTTTCCTAGGTTCTGCCATTGCCAGCCCTGAGACTTTTCTACTCCAGGCTTTTGTTCACAGACCCCATTGCCCCATCTCCCACCTCTCAACTTATTCCACAAAAAGAAGCCTCAGCCTTGCCCTCGCTGCCTTGTCCTGCTCTAACTGTCCCCTATTCCCCAACCCAGCACAGGGTGGTTGTGTCATAAAGAAGAGAAGTAGAGAGCCCAGGTGGGAAAGCAGAATTGTGGGCATCCAGGGGAAGTTGGACCAGTGGAGTTATTGCAAAGCCTATGTTTCTGTTCTGGTTGTGGTTTGAGAAAGGGGAACTCCAGAAACCCTAGCAGTGTTGGTCTTCATTCTAGAGAGGAATGTAGGCACCTCTGGGATGGGTGCCAGAGTGAGGCAGGGGAGAAGTTCTTCCTTTTATAACAAGGTTGATCACAGCTGAACCAGGCAGTTGCATCTGAACTGTTCGTGCTCCCATCTTCATCCCTGGAGCCAGGGCCTGCCTATAAGAGCTTTTGCTTCTGTCTTGCTATGCTGGAAGGCAACCTTTGGGGATGGAGTTATTGGCTAAGGGTGCTCTCTGTGGACAACAGTGAGGAAGAAAAAAGTAAGACTTATACCAAAGCATTTCTTTAAAAATTAGATATTGAAGAGCGGGATTAAGAAAGGAGGGAGATTTACCTTCTGTTAGCTGAAGGAGGTGGATATCAAGAACTTATCTTTGGATCTTGCCATCTGGCTGCAGGGGTGGAAGGGCCCAGAGATCTTTTGATGAGGGGAGAGTGGGAAAGTGGAAGAGCTGACAGCAAGGAGACACCAGGGCTGATGTGGAAGGGCAGGTGATTGGTGCTGATGAAGGTGCCAGGATGATGCCAGCCATGACAGTTGCAGGGCTCCTTGGTCTGGTAACTTAGTGACACTGATTTCCCTCCTCTCCCTCCTGATGCCTCCAGACCTGGGAGATCCTGGTGAGCAATGAGCATGAGACACAGGCCGTGGTACGACTAAAGAGTGTGCAGGGCCTCTACCTGCTGTGTGAGTGTGATGGCACTATGTGTTATGGCCGCCCAAGGACCAGCCACCATGGGTGCTTTCTATTGCATTTCCACCGGAACAGCAAGTGGACCCTCCAGTGCCTAATTTCTGGTCGTTATCTGGAGTCCAATGGCAAGGACGTGTTTTGCACTTCCCGGGTCCTCTCAGCTTACCACATGTGGACCCCCCGACCAGCCCTCCATGTCCACGTGATCCTCTACAGCCCCATCCACCACTGCTATGCCCGGGCTGACCCCACTATGGGCCGCATCTGGGTGGATGCAGCAGTTCCCTGCCTGGAGGAGTGTGGCTTCCTGTTGCATTTTCGAGATGGATGCTACCACCTGGAGACCTCTACACACCACTTTTTGTCCCATGTAGACCGGCTGTTCTCCCAACCCTCATCACAGACAGCTTTTCACATGCAAGTGCGGCCTGGAGGGCTTGTGTCACTGTGTGATGGAGAAGGAGGCATGTTATATCCACAGGGCACGCATCTGCTCTTGGGCCTGGGCTGCAACCCCGTGAGGGGTGAGGAGTGGTTCATCCTACAGCACTGCCCAACCTGGGTGAGACTCAGGTCAAAGAATCGGCGGTTCATTTCAGTCATCTACGGTAAGTGCTGGGCCCAACACAGTGATGGAGAGAGGAAGGGCTGGCTGTTGAAAAGAGGAAAATGTGTTTGGGATCAGCATAGATTTTTGAGTCTGCTAATAAGGAAGATCCTGGGGTCCCAAGGGGATCTTTTGTGCCATCGAGAAGGACAGAAAAGCATGGGTATGGGATTTAGGGGAAAGTTGCCTGGGTCTTCTGCAGACCTACCATGGTCCAACAGAAAGTGATGAAGGTTGAGAAGGGAAAGAGGAGGGACAGAAGCCCTGGTCATAAAACATGGAGAAGGGGCCGAGACTGAGGGAAAGGCTTTTACTGACATGCGCTTCCTCTGCAGATGATGAGGTGTGTGCTGCTTCTGAGCGCTTAACCCCAATGTCCTTGTTCCAGTTTGAATGTGACAGTGAGAGCCCCACTGTGCAGCTTCGTTCAGCCAATGGCTACTACCTAGCCCAGGTGAGACCTTGGCTTCCTGAGCAAGAGAAACCTTAAGCTCTGAGCTCTCCCTGCCTAGACTTCCTTCTTTTTCAAGGCAAATGGTGAGAGGATGATGTGGGCTGTGGAGGCACATGTCGATAAACATTCATTTTCACCCAATGGGGCCTCCTTTAAAAAAAAAAAAAAAAAAAAAAAACTGTATTAAGGTATAATTTGCATGTATGTAAATTATATAATACACATATGTATAAATTATGTATATTGTATACAAATATGTATATTATGTATGTTTTATAAATAAAATGCACCTATTAAGTGGAAAATTCAGTAAGTTTTGACAAATTTATCCATCCATGCAACCATGCCATAAGCATATCACAAGTGAGAGAATATTTTCAACACCACAGAATTTCCTCTTGTTTCTTTGCAGTTTCCCTCCACCCTCACCCTCCCTCTCCCAGCTACCACTGATCTGTGTTCTGTCTCTGTGAATTAGATTCGCCTACCTACTTTAGCATTTCTGATAAATGGAAACATACAGTATGTATGGTACATATGTTTCTTCTGCTTGGCACAATGTTTTTAAGATTCGTTCATAATGTTCGTGTATCAGTAGTTCATTCCTTTTTATTGCCGAATGGTATTCTATAATGCTGCTCATAAACATGATTTGTTTATCTATTCACTTGTTGATGAACACTTGGGTTGTTTCTAGTCTGGGCTATTAGGAATAAAGTTGCTATAAGCATTCATGTACAAGTCTTTTTGTGAACATACATTTTCATTTATCTTGGGTAAATATGTAGGAGTGGAATTACTAGGTTGTATAATAGATATGTGCTTAACTTTATAAGAAAATGTTGGTTTTCTAAAGTGACTATACTATTTTACATTCTTGTCAATAATGTGTGAGGGTTCTAAGAATTCCATATCCTCACCAACAGTAAAGCTGGCTTTTGGATTATCTATCTTTTCTATTTTAGCCACTCTAGTGGGTGCGTAATTTATGGATTTAATTCACATTTACCTTATAATTAGTAAGGTTTAGAATTTTTTTTTTTTTTTTTTTTTTTTTTTTTTTTTTTTTTTTTTGAGACAAAGTCTTACTCTGTCACCTGGACTGGAGTGCAATGGCTCAGTCTCAGCTCACCACAAGTTCCGCCTCCCATGTTCAAGAGATTCTTCTACCTCAACCTCCCAAGTAGCTGGGACTACAAGCATGCACAACCATGCCCGGCTAATTTTTTGTATTTTTAGTAGAGATGGGGTTTCACTATGTTGGCCAGGCTGGTCTCGAACTCCTGACCTCATGATCTGCCCACCTCAGCCTCCCAAAGTGCTGGGATAACAGGCATGAGCCCCGTGCCCATTTTCATGTGCTCATTGGCCATTTGTACATCTTCTCTGCAACGTATCTGTTCAGATCCTTTGCTATTTGTTACTGGGTTGTTTGTCTTATTAATGAGTTGTAAGAGTTCTTTATGTATTCTAAATCCAAGTCCTTTGCCAAATATATGTATTGCAAAAGTTTTCTCCCAACCTGGGAATAAAACCAGTTTTATTCCTAGAAAGCTGAGATTGTCGGTCCTTACTCCTCATCTCTGTTCCTGACATTCTTTCCAGAGGCGCCACAGGGCGGTGATGGCTGATGGGCACCCCCTGGAGTCTGACACGTTCTTCCGAATGCACTGGAACTGTGGCAGGATCATCCTGCAGTCCTGCAGGGGGCGCTTCCTGGGCATTGCACCCAACGGCCTGCTGATGGCCAATGCTACCCTTCCAGGTGAGTGGAGCAGCCTTCCTGCCAGATGATTCCAAGTCAGGGAGAACTTTAGAGGGAGGTGGAATATGATGGTTAAAAAGAACACTGAAGGCCGGGTGTGGTGGCTCACGCTTGTAATCCCAGCACTATGGGAGGCTGAGGTGGGTAGATCACAAGGTTAGAAGTTTGAGACCAGCCTGATCAACATGGTGAAACCCCATCTCTACTGAAAATACAAAAACTAGCCAGACATGGTGGTGCATACCTGTAACCGCAGCTACTCAGGAGGCTGAGGCAGGAGAATCGCTTGAACCTGGGAGGTGGAGGTTGCAGTGAGCCAAGATCATGTCACTGCATTCCAGCCTGGGCAACAGAGTGAGACTCTATCTCAAAAAAGGAAAAAAACGAAAACAAAAAAACAAAACACTAGAGTCGGGGTCAGAAGATTTGGGTCTGTACTCGTTCAGTCACTGAATTTTTGTCATCACTTGAGCAAAGCACCTCCTTGAGCCTCAGTTTTGTCATCTATAAAAATGGACATTTCATTGTCTACAATTCTGCGGCCTCACAGAATTGTTGTGAGGATTAAACACATCAACACACCTCAAAGGAAGGAAGAATATTAAAGCTCCTTGGGTTTCGCATGTGCTAGGTACTCTCACAAGCATTTCACAAGCACCTAGTGTAAGACCTGACACATAGTAGGTGTTCATTCAATGTTAAAATATTGACCACACCCTTCTGCAATTAGTGTCCCCCCCTCCTGCTTCCACTTGGGAAAAACACCTAAAGGCAGCCCATCCAGATAATCCTTCCTATTTCTTTCAGGCCCAAATGAGGAATTTGGGATTTTATTTGCCAATCGCCCCTTCCTTGTATTGCGAGGTCGTTATGGCTATGTGGGCTCCTCATCAGGCCATGACCTCATACAGTGCAACCAGGATCAGCCCGACTGCATTCACCTACTACCCTGCCGACAGGGTATCTACCACTTCCAGGGTGAGTGGCTCCTCTTCCCCGCCTGAGAGTTCACAGTCTAGTCCCTGCCTTAGCCCCAGCTCAGACTTCAGGGCCTGCCACCCAGGGCCTCTCATTATAAAAGGTAAAACAGGCCGGGAACGGTGGCTCACGCCTGTAATCCCAGCACTTTGGGAGGCCAAGGCGGGTGGCTCATGAGGTCAGGAGATCGAGACCATCCTGGCTAACATGGTGAAACCCCATCTCTACTAAAAATACAAAAAACTAGCCGGGTGTGGTGGTGGGCGCCTGTAGTGCCAGCTACTCGGGAGGCTGAGGCAGGAGGAATGGCAGAGGCGGAGTTTGCAGTGAGCCAAGATTGCACCACTGTACTCCAGCCTGGGCATAAAGCGAGAATCCATCTCAAAAAAAAAAATAAGGAAAAACAGGATCTCTGTTTGTTTTCACACTTCAAAGCCCCAGGTGGATTGGCAGAACAGACAGCAGTGGAATCCCTATTGGCCCTCCTGCATTTCCGTAGAAGGACCTGCCAATGCAGGCAGGATGGGGCAGCCAGGGGAGGGTGGCATGCCTCCACGAAACCCCTCCAAGGCTAGATTGCTGGAGGACTCCCCTATGAATGGCCCACCAACCTGAGCTCTTCCTTCTCCAGCACAGGGGGGATCCTTCTGGTCAATAACATCCTTTGGCACCTTTCGCCCTTGGGGCAAGTTTGCCCTCAACTTCTGTATCGAGCTTCAGGGGAGCAACTTACTCACTGTATTGGCCCCCAATGGCTTCTACATGCGAGCTGACCAAAGCGGCACCCTGTTGGCAGACAGCGAAGACATTACCAAAGAGTGTATCTGGGAATTTTAGGTAAGGGAGAAGAAGAGGTAAGGGGCTAGGGGAGCAGAAGCCATGGGGCAAGAGGAGATGGGAGGTGGGTGGGGAGGCATATGATGGGAAGACCAAAATGCACTCCCAGGCTGACGTCTGTCCCATAATTTGATCAACTCCAGACATTTATTCCAAATCTGTGCCATTTCTTGAGAGCTTATAAACCTGGGCTTGCTAGAGAGGGGAGACAGTTTCCCACTGCTATGCCACACTGACTCGTGGGCTTGCAAGCATGCCTGGAGGGGACAGGGTGAGGTATTCTTGTACATCTCTATCTTCATTAAGATGCAGAATTTCACTCTATTTTTAGGGAAAATGGACGACTTTGATCATATGTGTAGGTAAAAAAAAGATGTGCTTTCTATCCTTTGCACTTTCTATCCCTACCTCTTGGACCCCTGGAGTTCTTGAATGTTTGTCCTCAGCTCCGACCCTTCTCCTGACCTCTAATGTCATGTCTCTCCAACCTCCTGATAGACAGTTGACTTGACTTCATCCTGACAGTTCCTAAAAATCAACATAGTTGATATCAACCTGCTCATCTTCTCTTCCTAAGGTGATCCTGTTTTCCTGCCTTCCCCAGGACCATCTTGGGCATTTCCTCCTCCCAAATGCTCAGGCTCAAGAGCTCAGCACTATCTCTCTACCCTTTCTTTCACTTCCTTCGTCAAGCCCTGCAAATTCTTGGCTACTTCTTTAACAATGCCTCTTGCATGCTTGCTCCTTCTTAATTATCATTGCCACCGCTTGGCTCCAGGCTTTTCTCCAGAAGCACTGCTTCTACGGCTCCCCCAAAGCATTTCCTGCTGCCAGATCCATCCATCCAATCTCATCTCTAACATCCAATCTCATTTGCACTCTGTTTGCTTTTATAATATGCTGCTGCCTTCCACCATTCCCTGTTCACACTCTTCAGGGCACCTTGTTGCTCTTAGTCCTGTCCCTTCCTAATGGACCTCACTTTCCTGACTTATTGTGCAAAGTGCTTTTTGACATCACACAGACCTGGAATCAAGAGCTTCTTCCTGTAAGTTAACTTCACATATATCTAGGGTGGATCCCTTATCAAGAATGGGATAAATCACTTTATTCTCTTTCCTCCCACAGGATTTTACCCAGTATTCTAAAAGCCAGAGATCAGCAAATGACTAACTTGATTGCTGACCATTTATATTTCCTCTTTCCTCTCCAGGTCAATGGGATGTCACCTACCAAAATCCAAATCCTCCAAGAAAAACTACTACACTAAATGGAACAGGAACCCCAGAGTCAAGATCCAAGAGAAGAATATCTGTTACAACTCTTCCTACCCAGTTTAGCAAAACACCTGTTTTATGCAACAATACATCACAACAGGCCACCCCCAAGATCCTTGTGTGCATCTGACTCAGTATAGAGTAGGGGTCTGGATGAGGGTTGAAACAGAGGCCCCAGGCTGCTCTAAGTTCTATCCAGGAGAGACCAAATGGCAAGCAGTTCTTCCACTGATCATCCCTGTCCCTGTCCAGAACTGCTAGACTTTTTCCAGTGAACCCGTGAGCAGCCAGCATTGCCCTGAAGGGTTTAGAATCCAGTTATGACTTTAAATATCTTTTTGGTTTATAAAAAAGGAAAGATTGTTAATCCTGTGGGCACAGGATAATGGTAATAACACCTTATGCCTGTATAGACCGCTTTACCTCCTCCTACCATGATTTATCTAACTTAGCCCACCCATCATTACCTTTTTTCCAGTGAAGTGGGTACTTCCTCCATCACTTCTTACTTTTTTTTTTTTTTTTTTTTGAGACAAATTCTTGTTCAGTCGCCCAGGCTGGAGTGCAGTGGCAGTGGCGTGATCTTGGCCCACTGCAACCTCCGCCTCCTGGGGTCCAGCAATTCTCCTGCCTCAGTCTCCCAAGTAGCTGGGATTACAGGCACCTGCCACCACATCCAGCTACTTTCTTGGTTGTATTTTTAGTAGAGACAGAGTTTCGTCATGTTGGCCAACCTGGTCTCGAACTCTTGACCTCAGGTGATCCACCCGCCTCAGCCTCCCAAAGTCCTGGGATTATAGGCATGAGCCACCACACCCAGCAGACTTCTTACCTTTCACAGATAGCAGAAGTTATTTGCCCAGGGTCTCATGACTAATCACAACACAGCTAGACTTCTGACTCAAATCTAACTCTAATGTCCACCATTCTTTCAATCAAAGCAGGATTTCCAAAATGTCTGTCATTCTTACACTGTCTTTGTGATTTTCGCCTTCATCTACCTGCCATCTGCCCTATTAATGTTCTTATTGACATAGACTCTTAAATACATTTATTTAGAAAGGAATATTTTTTCACTATCATAAAATGGAAAACCAGAATCACTTACCTTAAGTGGAAAATGAGTATAAAAATAAATACAAGTACACCTCAAAGATATTGTGGGTTCAGTTCCAGACCACTGTGGTAAAACAAATATGGCAATAAAACAAGTCACACAAATTTTTTGGTTTCCCCAGACATGTAAAAATTATGCTTACACTATACTGTAGTCTATTAAGTATGCAATAGCATTATGTCTTAAAAACAATGTACATACCTTAATTTTAAAATATTTTATTGCTAAAAAATACTAATGATCATCCAGGCGCAGTGGCTCATGCCTGTAATTCTAACATTAGGCATTAGGCAGACCTAGGCAGGCAGATCACTTAAGGTCAGGAGTTCAAAACCAGCCTGGCCAACATGGTTGAAATTCCGTCTCTACTAAAAATACAAAAAATTAGCTGGGTGTGGTGACAGATGCCTGTAACCCCAGCTACTTGGGAGGCTGAGGCAAGAGAATCACTTGAACCCAGGAGGCAGAGGTTGCAGTGAGCTGAGATGGTGCCATTGCACTCCAACCTGGACAAAAGAGCAAGACTCCATCTCAAAAAAAAAAAAGGCTAATGATCATTTGAACCTTCAGTGAGTCATAATCTTTTTGCCAGTGGAGGATCTTGCCTTCATGTTGATGGTTGCTGACTGATCAAGGTGATGGTTGCTGAAGGTTGGGGTAGCTGTGGTGATTTCGTAAAATACGACAATAAAGTTTGCTGCATTGATTGATTCTTTCTTTCACGGAAGATTTCTCTGTAGCATGTGATGCTGTTTGATAGCATTTGGGCCACAGCAGAACTTCTTTAAAAATCGGAATAAATCCTCTCAAACCCTGTTGCTGTTTTATCAATTAAGTTTATGTAATGTTCTAAATCTTCCATTGTCGTTTCAGCAATGTTCACAGCATCTTCACCAGGAGTAGATTCCATCTCAAGAAACCACTTTCTGGCCAGGCGTGGTGGCTCACACTTGTAATCCTCACACTTTGGGAGTCCGAGGTGGGTGGATCACGAGGTCAGGAGATCCAGACCATCCTGGCAAACATGGTGAAACCTTGTGTCTACTAAAAATACAAAAAATTAGCCAGGCATGGTGGCGGGCACCTGTAGTCCCAGCTACCCAGGAGGCTGAGGCAGGAGAATGGTGTGAACCCAGGAGACGGAGCTTGCAGTGAGCCAGGATAGCACCACTGCACTCCAGCCTGGATGACAGAGCAAGACTCTGCCTCAAAAAAAAAAAAAAAAAACACACAAAAAGCAAAAAACAAAGAAAAAAAAAACACTTTCTTTGTTCATCCATAAGAAACAACTCCTTACCGGTTCAAGTTTTATCACAAGATTATAGCAATTCAGTCTCATCTTCAGGCTCCACTTCTAATTCTAGTTCTCTTGCTGTTTCACCACATCTCCAGTGATTTCCTCCAATGAAGTGCTGAATTCTTCAAAGTCATCCATAAGGGTTGGAATAAACTTCTTCCAAAACCCTGTTACTATTAATATTTTGACCTTCTCCCATGAATCATGAATGTTCTTAATGGGCATCTAGAGTGATGAATCCATTTCAGAAGGTTTTCAATTTACTTTGCTTGGATCCATCAGAGGAATCACTAATATAAGACAGGTATAACTGTATAAAATGTATTTCTTAAATAATAAGACTTGAAAGTCAAAATTACTCCTTGATCTGCAGGCTGCAGGATGGATGTTAGGACAGCAGGCATGAAAACAACATTAGTCTCCTTATATATCGCCATCAGAGCTCTTGGGTGACCTCTCAATTAAGGCATTGTCAATGAGCAGTAATATTTTAAAATAAATATTTTTTTCTGAGCAGTAGATCTCAATAGCTGGCTTAAAATATTCCGTAAACCACACTGTGAACAGATGTGCTGTCATCCAAGCTTTGTTGTTCCATTTACAGAGCACAGGCAGAGTAGATTTAGCATTATTCTGCAGGGCCCTAGGATGTGCAGAATGATAAATGAGCACTGGCTTCCACTTAAAGTCACCAGCTGCAGTGGCCCCTCACAAGAGAGTCAACAGCTGTCTGTTGAAACTTTGAAACAAGCATTGACTTCTGTGTAGTTGTAAAAGTTCAGATGGCATCCTCTAATAGAAGCCTGTTTTATCTATATTGAAATCTGTTGTTTCGTATAGCCACCTTCATCAGTGATCTTAGCTGGATCTTCTGGCTCTTGCTGCAGCTTCTATAATATATCGACATTGGCTGCTTCACTTTGCACTTTTATGTTATGGAGATGGCTTCTTCCCTTAAGCCTCATGAGCCAACCTCTGTTAGCTTCAAACTTTTCTTCTGCAGCTTCCTCACTTCTCTCAGCTTCATAGAATTGAAGAGAGTTCAGGGCCTTGCTCTGGATTAGGCTTTGGCTTAAGAGAGTGTTGTGGTTGGTTTGATCTATCCAGGCCACTAAAACTTTCTCCTGTCAGCAATAACGCTATTTCACTTCCTTATCATTTGTGTGTTCACTGGAGTAGCCCTTTTAATTTCCTTCAAGAACTTTTCTTTTGCATTCACAATTTGCTAATAACTGTTTGGCAAAGGAGGCCTCGCTTTCCACCTATCTCAGCTCTCAGCAGGTCTTCCTCACTAAGCTTCATCATTTGTAGATTTTGCTTTAAAGGGAGAGATGTGTGGCTCTCCTTTCTTGAACACTAAGAGGGAATTGTGGGGTTATTCATTGGCCTAATTTCAATATTGTTGTCTTAGGGATTAGGGAGGCCCGAGGAGAGGGAGGGAGAAGTGGGAAGGACCAGTCCGTGGAGCAGTCAGAACACACATCACTTTTATCAGTTAAGCTCACCATTTTATTTTATTTTATTTTATTTTAGGCAAAGTCTCGCTCTGTCACCCAGACTGGAGTATAGTGGTGCAATCTCAGCTCACTGCAACCTCCACCTCCTGGGTTCAAGGGATTCTCCTGCCTCAGCCTCCCAAGTAGCTGGGATTATAGGCACGTGCCAACATACCCAGCTAATTTTTGTATTTTTCGTAGAGATGGGGTTTTACCATGTTGGTCAGGTTGGTCTCAAACTCCTGACCTCAGGTGATCCACCTGCCTCAGCCTCCCAAAGTACTAGGTTACAGGCGTGAACCACCAAGCCCAGCCAAATTCACCATTTTATATGGATGTGAGTTGTGGCGCCCCAAAACAATTACAATAGTAACATCAAAGATCATTAAACACAGATTACCATAACAGATAACAATGAAAAAGTTTGAAATACTGTAAGAATTACCAAATTACCAAAAGGTGACATGGAGACACAAAGTGAGCACATGCTCTTAGGAAAGTAGTACCAACAGACTTGCCTCAAACCTTCAATTTGTTTAACAAAATATAAAAATAAAAAAGCAGTATCTGCACTAAAATGCACTAAAGCAAAGTCAAAGTGCACTAAAATGAGGTGCACCTGTGTAATGAAAATAAAGTGATGATACCAAATCCTAGTTAAACTTTTCTTGCCTGCCCAAGGCTCAGAGCCTGAGGTTCCTTTTCCCTTTACCCTTTACTAATAAAAGAGATGAAGAACTTTTTTATTTTTATTTTTTTTGACTCCACCCAGGCTGGAGTGCTGTGGCATGATCTGGGCTCACTACAACCTTCGCCTCCCGGGTTCAAGCAATTCTTCTGCCTCAGCCTCCCACGTAGCTGGGACCACAGGCTCCTGCCACCATGCCCGGCTAATTTTTGTATTTTTAGTAGAGATGGGGTTTCACCATGTTGGCCTGGCTGGTCTCAAATTCCTGACCTCAAGTGATCGGCCCGCCTCAGCCTCCCAAAGTGTTGGGATTACAGGTATGAGCCACCGCGCCCAGCCAACAACTGTTAAAGTGACACCAAAGACTAGGACCAAAGTGAAACTTTCTCCTTGATACAATCAGAATTGAAAGGGGGTTGAAAAGGGAATAATTTTCTCACTTCTGACTCAATATTATTTGAATCAACATACACACGCCTCCTGAAGTGTTCTTAAATACCAACAGTGCTGCCTATTCCCCACTTTGGAAAATTTGCCCCATAC